ACCTATAGGTAGCATAATCGAGAATTTAATAAGGATAATTAAACATAATTAGGGCCTGACCCGCCATTGGCTGATAGAAGCTCAGAGCTTGAAAATGACGTCACTGTTAGATAAGGGAAAAAATCCTATATTTTCATCACATATTTTACACATTGGATTATTATCAGACAATTTAAAATTTGGTGGGACAGGCCCTTAGTATTGAATTTTTTTTAAATAAAGTGTACCTTTATCTGTGTTATATCTATTTGTCCTAATCCTACAGGTTCACTATGCTACTGAATGTTAACAATTTCAATGTCTAAAATAAACATAATACAATCAAAATGTCTTTAATCCTATTTCAACAAACCTACTCTTTATATACCAGGGCTCTAGTTAATACAAATTTACTTAACTATAAATTCTATTCCTAAGCCCACTGTTTTATAAAAATATGTTCATGAAAAAAATAATTGTGATTTTGTATTTCAAAAGGCCCATTTATTTACTAAATATTTTTAGGTACCATGTATTATAACTAATAGACTTGAGATCACACATTTTCTACTCTCATTAAAGTCAAAAAAACATCTTTTTCACACACACAAAGTTATAAATGTCATATGTGTAATACAATTACAATTCTAGGTTACATTTATAAAACGGTGGGATAATATATAACTAAAATATTTGAATGAACCTTTTCTAACATTAATTTGTAATCAACAACTTCGAAATATACACACATTGTTTTGTAATAAATTTGACAGTCATATGATCATGTTATTTACTATGATATAAAGAAAGACATCACAAAGACAGAAATTCAAAAGTAAACCTCTCACATACTTCTGTTTATTAAGCATTTTTTTCTCAATCTAAAGCTTATACAATTACAAAGCTGCCGAAAAGGTAAAAAAAAACTGAACATTACACTCTAGTGCTGTGATTGACACACTTGTGAGAAAAAATCTTATTTTAATTTTACAAAGTGAACAATCACTTTCTACTAACATAAACACTGGTTCATTTTAATCATCATCTAATTCAATAATAATTGGCTCAACATTTTCAGTGGCTGAAGTATATTCATTCTTTAACTGAGTTAATAATGTACACTTTGGTATTTTCAATTCATCCGCTTCATCTAATAAAACTTTTAGCTTTTGCACTCTACCAATATCAGGGGCGGTTGGTAGTAACATTTTCTTTGTTTCGGACATCCATTTATCAAAGCTGTTAACCCTAAAATCAAGGGTTTGTAACATAATATGCAATTCATCCATATCATACCTATAGTTAAGAGTTTTTTTACTTAATGCACACTGGCATGCATCAGTTGCATGCTGCAGACAAGCCATGTGTTTGCAATCAGTGCATAATACCGAAGACAAGAAACAAGTTGTTTTACAAATCTCACAAAGCCGTTCATCATCTCCCAGCAACTCAAATGCTGTTCTTCTGACACTTTTCAAACCTTTGCTTGCAATCTGAGCTCTTAACCTACCTTCTTCTTCTGTTGCCCAAACTAACTCCTTCTGTGTCTCCAAAGCTGTCTCCAAATCTAGACGATCACCTTCCAAAGCCATCTTACATATAAGTTCATCATGAGAAAAAACACAGAATCTTTTAAGGTTTTTGTAATGAATTATGCATTCTCTTCCTACTTTTAGCCAATCAGGTGGGGCAAAGTTTACTGCTTCTGCAAAATTGTAGCCTTGATTAAAACCAGCATGGTATGCTCTGGGGAATGTTACTACAAATTCACCAGCCTGTTGGTCAGTTCTGTAAATAGGCACCCCTGCTGCCATCAGTATGTTAGGATTCATTATGGTGACTAACTGGTGAAGTAAATCTGGTTGTGATTTGAATAGTTCTGGTGCGGCTGCTTTCATTGCAGTCTCTAGCAGCTCAGCTCCACTTCCCGGAACACCATACCAAGTTTTAGCTTCTCCCCAATGTAAGTAATTGATAGAATAACTCCAATGATCTTCATTATGCCAGCAAAATGCAGAAAAACACATACCCACATACATCCATGGAACAGTCATCCCAGATATATCAGCATTAATAAATCTTAAAACTGAACCTTCCAAAACAGGAAGATTATTCAAATTCCAGCCTGAATCTACATATTCTTGATCGCCAGGATAAAGATTTAATGAAGACTTTGTTGGGAATCCTGAACCATGATCCATTGAATGTAGATCTGCACCATATTCTACTGTAACATCTTCTTCCACAGATGATATTATCCTCCAAAATTCTTTTTCAGCAACTGATGTTGGGACTAGATGGCCAGACATACCGAAATAATCAGATTTAAATTTATCAGCCATCTCTCCAAATTGTTGAAGTGTGTATTCCCTTTCAGCTTGAGCAAATCCAAAAGCCTCTGCTGGCTTATGTACCTCTTCAGCAATGCAACATGGGCAACGCCATTCACCATCAGGAACAGTATTTAAAGGAGGTTTTAAGCAGAATGTGTGATAAGTATCAGAGCAGCCGTTACAAATTAACAAAAGATTGTCAGTGTGGTCTTTTTGACAAATGGCACATATATAAATTGCCAATGGATCTAAGTCATATCTGGGTCTTTTTCTAGATTTTGTTATATCAAATTCCTCATCATTAAGCCCGGGCATTTTGGGACCAGGACCATAACAAGCTAGTCTCCTCAGTTCCCTATTACATTTTGCTTCATCAGTTTCCAAGATACTTTTACTATTCACTTCAGTTTTGATGTCTGAGCCTGTTTTAGTTTTTTTAATACTTGTATGAGGTAACATATCATCATAATCTCCTTTAAAGCCTGTGATATTTTGTATTGAAATTTCTTTAAATGAATGATTTGAAGCATCGCCGTCATCTTTTATTTCCGATTTACTTTCAGTCTTTTTTACAGTCTTTAATATGTCGGCTTTACTTTTTTCAAAAATGTCATAAGGAAGCAAAATCTTCTCGTAATTAATTTTGAGAAAATTCATTGTGTTCGCGTTTTGACTATACCCCATTGAGTTTGCAATCTTACGCCATTTTTTCGGAGTATTACAGTTTTCGAACCCACCTTCTTCGTCCACCCAAAACTTTAAACAATACAAATCTAAAGTCTTATTTTCAATCATAGGTATCTTTAAGGGAGAGCCCTGCAATTCCCAAAATTTTAAAATTTTCTCAAGAAATAACAATTTCAATCGCGTAATGGCTTCCAATTCATTTACTTTTTGTATTCGTGGTACGAATTTTAATTTGTCTACGTCTAGTGAAAAAGGTGGCTGCCATCGCGCTGGAGGCTTTATCTTACAAATTCCTGTTATTTCAGCAACAGGGCGAATTTTAGCTATATAGCCTAACGGGTCCGCAAAATCTTCAAGCGTAGGCTCAAATACGGGTGCCTCGGGCGGCGGAGTAAAAGTGAACTCTGCACTTTTTTGCATCGCATTTTTTTGAATATTCTTACTATCCATTGCTATTGCTTACAATGGAAACTCTAAAATATATCTTTGCTTCACAAATTATCAACTATTATCATTTCACTATATATAAAAGAGTACGTGACTTCTCGCCATGTGTAAATGGCTCCTAAAAATTCGAACTCGAAGAATTGTTCACTTTATTATGTTGACACATATGGATTCTTTATAAACATAATATCCTCGCCACTACTCCAAGGCATAACTATAGTTAAGTGTTTAACGATTTACGTTTAAACATTAATTGAAATATTTTATGGTTCACAATTTACGAAATGGGATTTTATAATGGTAAACACTAATGTTTCAAGATACACTGGAAAATCGCCATTGCAAGACAAGATCGCAACTGAACTGATACTGATCGTCCCGGTAATGCAAAAAAGAGAAGGAACACACACACACAGCACTACACCAAATGTACAATGAAATGACTTCTATTGGTTCATGGTTCTTTCATCCTCATTTTCTCATAACAATGTAATAAATGTTTGTACAGAACCCAGAAAAAATATTGTAACTGGCATGTTGGTAGCGCCAATCAATTAAATTGCTTCCTTGGCCCGCGCAATTTAAATTTAGACTTAAATCCCTCCAACATTCTGTATGTTGTGTTTAAAATTGTTTCCACGTCAAAT